CAGAGCTTGCAAGCGGTGCCCCATTTGGCATCGTGTGGATTCCGCGGGCTTTGAGACGGAAGTAGTCCGTTTGGACGTTGTTGGGTTTCGGGCCTTTGTCGTCCTTTGGATTCCAACCGGATGGCATTAGATGAATACGTGAGCCTCCAACAGACATGTTGAGAGGTGCCTTCCGGCCCACAGATTCTGACTGGGTTCGTTTGTGAGAAGACTTGGGGTTGGGGTCTCTAACGGTGGTGCTGCGAGCCCTATGGTCTGCATCAATGAGTGATTGCAACGGTGAAGTTGAATGGCCGACAGATGACGTCGACCTGCCGAAGCGGCTTTCAGTTCGCGGGCTTCCTGTTGGCGTTGTAGATCTTTGGTGTGGCGGTGGTACGATATCTCCATGGACGACCTTCCTAATCTTTGCGGCGGAGTTTCGAATGCCACTTAGCACGCCTGTGGATGCCAGCAAATCCTCCTGGGTCTTCCGCTTGTTACTTCTTGAACTCGCCAGACTCTTGTTGAAGTCCTCTACGATATCCTCATTTGCCTCCTGCGCTAAAGCCTGGTTTCGCTCAGCCATTAGTTTCCGTAGTTCACGTGCTTGTCTGCCACGTCTTCGCTGCCAAAGTTTTTGCGCATTTGCACGCCAGCGATAGAAGTATTTTACCCCAAGCGAGTACTGCCTGAAGTCGTCCGCCTCGCGCCGAGCTTTCTTCTCTTCTTCGACGACTTCGGCTGCCGCCGATTCAAGCTCTTCATAGTATTCATCGTATGCTGCCCGACATGCCTTTTCAACTTCAGCAATTGTGAACTGATCAAGTATACCGCCATCGCCGAATAAGGCCAGATCCGCCAAATAAGGCGTTAAGTTGGATACGACTGTCTTGCTCGTTGGCGAAGTGTCAACTTGTTTCTTCGCGGCAGCTGCCATTGGTAGGCCTTGCCGCATATCGGTCCCAGCCTTCTTCTCCGTGCTTGGTACTGCTGGTTTGGCGCGCTTTGTCGAGGATGGCGGCGCAAGCCAATTGTATCGAACTTGCTCCCCAGGAGGTTTCTCTGGAGCTCCTGCTTGTGGTGGAGTAACGCTGCTAATAGCACCAAATGATGGCAGGGCAGGTTGTTGTTGCGTCACTGGGGGCGCTTGTGGAATATTTACAACTTGTGCAGCTCCACTTCCAGTAGTAGGGAAGAAATTTGCCGTAGGTTGTGGCGGAGGTGCTGCAGTTGTAGTAGGCTCCGTCGCAGTCACTGCAGCCTGGCCTGTGGAAATAGAAGGGGTAAACAGTGGTTTTGCTGCTCTCGGACTTTCTTTGATCGCTGGTATGTTTGTTTCGATGTTTGATGCAGTTGGCATAAAAGGCGACGATGTTTCAGGGGCCTGGGTGACAGACAGGAAGAACGAAGAAGGAGCCGCCAGTACAGAGGCAGGAGGTTGTGCTGCCCCCGTCTTCGGTGCAAATAATGATGTGGTTTGTGTCGGCGCAGCACTCTGTGAGAGGAATGAAAATGATCCCGGGGCTTGGGTTGTTACAGCAGGTGGTTTTGCTCCTGGTGATGTCGCCGGTGCAAATATTGACGGAGCGGACGGGGTGACACCTGATGTGGTTGGTTTCGTCTGTTGTATTCTCGGAAAGAAGGATGTAGTTGGTGCTTGACTGACAGGCTGCGGGGCTGCTGGCTGGCTTTGAGCCGCAGTCGGCGTGAAAGAGAAAGGGCTAGGTGCTTCGGTGCCCGGCTGCTTTGAGAAGATAGAAGGAGCAGCCCCAACATTGCTGGGCTGCGCGGGGAAAGTTGCAGCTGGGGCGTTGGTTGTTTGAGAAGGGGGGAAGAATGACATCGCGGGTGGTGCTGCTGGTTCACCCCAGCTAAAAGACGGCGCTGCGGCAGGTGGGTTCGACGTAGGCGGGAAAATAGACGGGGTAGTTGTCGGTACTCTGGTTATGGACTCATCATCGCTATCAATGAAGCCTCCGAGTTTTTTCAGCGGCGCGGCTGGAGTCGGCGCACCAAATATAGGGGGCTTTGCAACCTCTTGGGCTGGAGCACCCCAGATATTCTGGTTTTGGGTCGGTCCCTTTCCAAAGTATTGAACTGAAGAGCCCCAGATATTCTGATTTTGTGCTGGTGCTTTGGCAAATGTATTGGATCCATCAAGCCCGGAGACAAACAGGGAGTTACTGTCATCTACCACTGAAATCTCGGCATCCGCGAAGGCGTTGTGGTATATGCAGGCCGGCAAAGTCTTCTGTCCACGCTTCGTTTCCACCAATTTTTTCGAGTGAGGCTGCTTGATCTTCGTTTCCGGCTCTGTTAATGAGCTCCCAGAGTTGAAATCAATGTAAGGTTCCTCTGGCCCCTCCTTGATATAAAGCCCGTGGCCTTCGATAAATGCTTCCGCGTCGTCGAGCGTGTCGAAGTGGAGATAGGTGTTCAGCGTAGGAAGCGTCCAGTCCGTTGTTTGCTCTCTCTGTTTGCGATATGCCGAGAGTATAGTCATCAGTGCAGTCTTTCTAACGCCGTTGAAATGAATCTCTGCAAAACAAGCTGTAGTGTAGGAGACTTCAGGTTGGCGGATGATTTTGAAAAATCGGCTATACATATTCAAGGCGATTTCGCTGGCGGACTGTGGCTTTAAGGGACCATTGATTTCCCAGATGTTGTGCAGGCATTCCACAAGCGCTGTAGCAGTCTGGATCTCATCGCTTTCCCAGAAATCCTTGCCCCAGTCTTGAACAGCTTCCATCATGGCAGGGTTACGGGAGTGGTAGATCACAAAGTACGCCCGAAATTCGGCCTCGTTGTCGCATTGGATATTCTGGGACTTGCAGTCTTCGTAGGTGTGTATCAGCGAGAGCAGAGTCCTGCCAAGCTGTTCGATTTCTTGGTGCTCGGAGAAATCGTCAGAAGTATTGAAAGGGTTGGACATCTGATGCAAGGCGATGACATGAAACCTAGCTATCGTCTCCAGACAGTATACCTCATCGATATAATCCGCCGCGGTGAGAGACGCCTGTTGAAATGTGAAGTCGCGACGTATTGAGCGAGTGCGGTCCCAGAGGAAGTTGTGGACTGTCGCAAGCCTATTCTCGTCGCCCAGGACATCCTGAATCAGGTAGTCCAGGGTTTTCCTAAGCGCAGAGGGCATGCGAATATCGCTTGGGAGTGGTGCATCCTGGCCTGCAGACGAACGGCCGTAGGCTTTGATCATTTTCTGAGGGGCGGGCCAGAGAGATCCATCAAACGCCAGGTCTTTTTCCAAGTTCTTTACGTCATGTTCCATAATCCGAGTAATCTGCTCGAACCTTGGGCACATCCCATCACAGGTCCCTTTGAAGTCGATAGCTTCACTGAGCTTCTTTGGCTTGTCCGGATCGTCAATGAGGCCCTTGTTCATCAGCACCGTTCGAACTTTGGCGCGGTATGCCTTGGTGGTGTTCCAGAATCCTTTAATCGCATCCTTCTCACTGGGATCTCCAGGCCTCTCCGTTGGCCAGTCTGGATAAGTCGAAAGCCCATTCTGTTGTAGAGTTTTCTCAATTTTCGCAGTATGGTCATCCGGATCGGATGCGCTTGTCGTTTGGGATAGCTTGCTCTTGGGAGGCGCTGATCCAGGTTTCTTTGAGATGGTAAATGGCTTCTGTGGTTGTGGTGCACTTTTACCTTGCGCCGGTGGGCTAGAGAATCGCACTGTTTTGTTTTTGAAAGCTCCTCTTGCTTCTGGGGTGCCTCGGAGGCTTGCGCTGCCACCTCTTGGTTGTCCGCGCTGCGATCGTTTGGCGGCGTTCGCATTCCGTTCGGCCTCGAATGAATTCTCGGTGGTCGGCTCGGGGGTAGAATCTGCACGTAGGTTTGAGTATTTTCATCGGCTTATATGTGCATTTGGCGTGTAACAAGTGAATGGAAGTTTGCGTGAAAGTGCCGCAGGATGATCAACTTTGACCTTTGTTTGGGCGTGATCGGGATCCTTTGGGCAAGTGTTGGACCCCAATGAAACGGAAAGGCTTTTCGGAGGAACTTACTAGAGGAGCCCGATGATCGTACAGCCCCCCTCCCTCGCCCTCTGAAAGATGAACCCCTCGTGTCGGCAGGCGTGCCACGCGACCCGCGGTTTGAAGTGCCGCGCTGCATTGTGTTTATTGTCGCTGGAGCCGCAGTTCAAAGGAGTTCATCGTTCACAGTCGATCGGAAAGGGGAGATGTGTCGTCTTGTGCCATTCCTCGACTATCGAAGGAGAAATAGCGTCGTGTGTGGCGATGGTTGGAGAGTCGTTATCTATTGTTTGGTGATTAAGCTCTTTGAGTCGCATCTCTGAGGTTGAGTACCTGATCTGGCGGTGCCAAGATTCTACTGTGCATAATTCTGCCACCGCCCTACAAGCTCCAGTGTAGCTGGTGGCAAATGTCTCCACGCCCCAATTAGGATTTATTAGAGTTTATATAACTTATTGCAACACAGAGCAATCCGAGTTTTAATCCAATGAATTAAGATATTCTTTAATTCTGGGCTTCTTCATTTGTGGGGGGGGGATGAAAACTAGACCTCACACGAATATTATATAAAATATTATAAATATTAACGTACGTGTATAACGAACCGGCCAAACAAGCGAACCGGCCAATCCATTTTACACCTTAAATCACGAATTTCATAACTTAATATCTCAACAACCCTTTAATAATAAGTTATAAAAATATGTACTTAGCCTTTTATAAGCATTTAAAGTACTCTATTTGATTTTTAAAGCAATTAGTATTGTAGTTATTAAGATACTAAGAATTAGGTCAAAAGTGGGGGCTAAAACTCAATATCTTAATAACTACAATACTAATTGCTTTAAAAATCAAATAGAGTACTTTAAATGCTTATAAAAGGCTAAGTACATATTTTTATAACTTATTATTAAAGGGTTGTTGAGATATTAAGTTATGAAATTCGTGATTTAAGGTGTAAAATGGATTGGCCGGTTCGTTATACATGTACGTTAAGTTAAACGTCATATTTAATTTAAAATAGCTCCATTGTTTGGATAAATTTATGGGCAAAAACTCGATATACCCAGTAAACTGGTAAGAAAACTCCATCTACCCAGTCGGCGGGTAACCCTCCTTTGGAAAGGTTAACGAGCCAATGAGAGGCGTACTCTCATTTGAGAGTACATGCTCTCATATGGCCTTTTTGAAGCAATTGAGCTGGCAATATACCAGCTCAATTGCACGGTAAGTCGGGGGTCAATTGAGACCCCCAAACCTCCTCCCCCTTCCCTTCCTCCCCTCCACCACAGAACCCCGCTGACACCTCCCAGGCTCCCTCCCTCCTCCGACCCCCTCGAAACCCCCCTCGAAAGCCCTCGCGCGAGGCACAAACTCCCCCGCCTCCCCCGCCCCTGCCTCCTAGCCGAACTCGCTGCCCCTGTCGACGGTAGCAAGTTCCTAGACTTGGACGCTTGGTCCCGCGCCCTGGACGACTGGGCCGTCAAGGAGAAGTTCTCCTGGCGGCTCCAGAGGAGGGACAAAGACGGGGCAACTGCCGTTTGTCCCGAGGAGGGCTGTGCCTGGCGTGTCCAAGCCAGCCCCGATGACGAGCTTCCATTGCTCGTCGTCGGGGCTGGCTCGGACATGCTAGGCACATATGAGAACGGGGGGAGTTTCTAGATTGGGCTTGGGCGGGTCACGTGGGATGGAACTGGGTATATAGAATTTATTTATTGTTTTACTGGGTATATGGAGTTTTTGCCCTAAATTTATATTCCAAAGTGAACAAGCAAAGTCACCAGCAAGTTACGAAACAAGCCCAAAATCTTATATATTATTTCCGTTCCAAAGCTCTAGCATTGGAAATATATACAGCCAGCTCAGCCAATTGTATCCATATCCACTACAAAACATCACATTCTGCAACCAACAGCCCGGCAATAGGTATCTTCCCATTCCACATTTGCCCCCTTTGTATAGCCGCCCAGCTAATCGACAACAAAAATAGCAAATATAGACCATTCAGCCAAGTTATCGAGTTCGTCCCAGCCGAAATGATCTACTTCTCTTGACGTTGCATCAGATGTCGGCTTTTCAAATATTCCTCCATATAAGGGGAGCCTTTGAAATATTCCTTCATCTCATCTGCAAGACTGTCATAAAAGCTGTCCGGTACATACCCATTGTGCGTCGCCTCCGTGGACCATCTGCGACTTCTTGTTGCCCTGCTTTCGTAGCCAGGGAGTATGCTCAATGCCTCTTCAGTAAGGAGGCTGGGCTGTTCAAGCTGTGTCTGACTTGAATCCACATAATCAGGTCGAGTGACTGCATTGCTTGAGGACTGGCTGAGCTTTCTGGATTTCTTAGACTGAGACCGCTGTGAATTGGCGCCAGCTGCTGGCACTTTCCCAAGAAGGTCTGTAGGCGGCACGTCTCGGACCCTCTTGAGTAACCTGCGAGCACGCTTGCGACTTGGAGATGTATATGACGAGACATCTCCATCCTTCACGAACAGTTCCCCAGATTCATTGAGGGCATTGATGATCTGCTGTTTACTTCTCTGTGTTGCCTCTCTGCCACGATGATGCCTATGCGAATGCTTACGGGTGTGCTTATCGAGGCTAAAATAGACTGATGCAGTGTAGTCACTCGGTTTCCTAGAGCGGCGCATTTCTTTTTGGGATGCTTGATGCGGCTCATCGGAGTTCGCCTGGAACTGACTTGAGGGGGTCCTTATCATGTCTCTCAATAATCCATTGCGAGGGATGCATTCGACCGCACGGTAGATATCCCCCCGAGGTACCCACCCTTCAATAGATCGCTTGTAGAGACGTTCAAGCTCACGGTTAAGCTCTGAAGGGGTGGTGAACCAGATATGCGCAATCGCTTCATCGGCAGTCATTCGATGGGCGGGGTCAAGCACCAGGAGCTTTGTCAAGAAGTCCTTGGCTTGATCGGTAACGCCTTCAAGATCCGGCCGAATTTGGTCAAGCCTCGCCGTAATATCCTCCTGGCTGATATGTTTCATCTCGAGGTATGAAGCGAGCGATTCCCCAGTCAACAAGCAGAATGCCACGATACCGAGAGACCACATGTCTACAGCTTTGGTATATGATGTTCCATTTAACCTCTCGGTACGATGGACTTCCCTGGTTGCTGTTAGCATTGAGTCGTGCTTTATGCAGGAACACGTACGGTGCAACATAATCAAAGGTTCCGACCAAAGATTCCATTCTGCTCATCGCATGCAAGTTTGCTGCACAGCCAAAGTCGGTTAAGACAACACGATACCCAACTGCCGTGTTCATCATCAGGATATTCTCGGGTTTGATGTCACGATGTACAATCCCAACCGAATGGAGATACTGTACAGCAATGGTAAGTTGCCTTAAAATGACCCGGGTATCTAGGTCCGTCAGATGTCCGCCGTTTGCCGATACGAAGGAGCATAGATCTCCACCCGGAGCAAGTTCCATGAATAGATACCTAATGATCAGATTATGATGCACCGACAAATCTTGGGGACTTACAAACTATTGTCAGAGCGAAAAGCTTTTTTCATGGCCACAATGTTCGGCTACAATGGTTAGCCGTTGCCATAGACTAGGTGGAATTTCGCATACGTGGTTCACCCTGGTGAGAATCTCTATCTCACGTATGAGCCTTTGACTTTCTAGTCTCATTGTCCGCTCTCGTGCCTGGTCATCTTCTGAGACAACTACAGCCACCCGGAGGTTGACTACTTTGCATGCAAGCTGTCTTTTCGTTGCTACTTCCGTTGCCAGGTATACCTTGCCACAAATACCACTTCCAAGAAGTCGATCGGTGATGGAATACCGCTTCGCGAACGACTGTGATAAAATTAGATAACGAATAAAAGGTCCCTATATAAACCTACCGCCGTCTCTTCCAACTGAATTGCATCCATTTCTTCTCTCTGCCTCTCGATAGGATGTTTGAATTTGAAACTGAAGTCAGGCTTCAGTTTGATTTTATCGCCATCGCTGAGGAGGAAGGGCCAGCTCGACTTGTCGTTTCTCCCAATGAGCATTCTGTTCACGTAAGTCCCATTTGCAGACCTTGAATCTTCGCAATAAAACATCGACTCTATCCCGTCGGCATCTTCATATTGAATGCCGTAAATGCGGAAGTGGTTCTTTGAGACCAGTCCTGAGTCAATGTTTAAGCTGTTGCGCCCGTTCACGAAAGTGGCGAGGTTATGGGAGGATGACTGGTCATCAGGTGTGCGCTTCACGGTGAACTCTTTGCCAGGATATAACTGTATATTGATTGCTAGAGATATCAGACAGAGAATATGTTAAGTGGAGTAGAACGCCTACTCTGGTCAGAGCTACCACTGTCGTCCTTTTTCGAGCGGAACACGAGGCTGGCAGCCATTGTGCTGGACGTAAGTAATGAAACTGAGAATGGGCTGATGGTATGGAAATGAGCGTTGTATGGAAAAGGTGAAAAAGGTCTTGAGTGGTTCAGTGGGTGGACGTCTGGGGAGATTACGAGAATGAGAAGGAAAGGACAGAAATGGAAAGGGAGGATGACCCTTAACACGTATGACAGGTAGAGAAATAATTTAATACTCCCTTATTGGTACAAACTGAGAATGGCTGATCTGAATGGTGATCTTGGTAGCAAGCTGCCACTTGCCATGGTTGTCAGGAACGATGGAGACGCTACGAATGTCAAAGCTCCAGACGAACGACGCTACGGAAAGCTAAAATCAAGTGGGGACAAGCGACACATAGCACTCCAACTTCCAAAATGTCTGAATGAGCTCGTACGAGGGAAAATATCATATTATTACAATTTTAATAGATAGTTACTGGAAGTCTGATCTCGACGTACAGTTACTGAAAGCCTAGTTTGTAAATATAGTTGCTATTTACTATTACTGGAGGGGTAGACACTGTGAAAGTATTACGGTGTATTGTACGTCACGTGCCATATGATAATCACTCTGGCGGCGAATATAAAGGAAGGAATAGAATGTGCCAAATCATAATGTATAGTGGACTGTTTCATTTGTAGGCATAGTGACTGGAAGCCTACTATTAACTTCCACTCTTTCGTACAGACACTGTAATGAGCTTTACGGATGTATGACATCGTTATGACATAGTTTTACCACGTGATCGATCTATAAATGTATATTCAAACCGCCGGAACTGTAAATGAGTTTATGTAAAAAAGTATTAGAACACGGAAATTTCAGTCTACAGTGACTACCAAGCCATACATGTAGGTACAGTGGATTGTCCGCTACTTCTCGTTTAGACACTGTCGAGTTTGACAGCTGGAACAGCCCATTACGATATATACTATCACGTGATGCAACCGCGTAGGGCAAGACCTATCGCTTGTCAATTCGGCGCTAGCGAGACGCTCAATTATCAACACTCGCTTCTCACCACAACATCTTTCCTCCTTCACCATCAACTTCAATAGCATAATTCTCACAAGAGTACGTTTTACAACCCCAATTGCTACATTGATAAAGCTAACAGCTCCTTCCAGTGCGTGCTAAGTGGAGAAAAAAGCGCACTCGGCGCTTGAAGCGTAAGCGCCGCAAGACTCGTGCCAGATCGTAAGTTTCCCGCTGATTATAGCTATGGACAAGCTTCTAACAACCTCTGCAGCAAGTAAACAATTCGCTCCTACTCGATCTCAGACTTGGCTGCCAGCGAGTTCGCCCACGATGACAAGATGACCTGAAAGTTTCGCCATCTCCCGCATCGACATCGAAATCCTATTCCAGCATTCCACCAACAACCGTTTGGACAATTTGTGCAATTGGGGGCAGGGTGTTCTAGGACAAGAACGCTTGATGACGCGTACTATCAGCATGTGGTGGAAGGACCGGTGGAAGAATGGATCTGGTCAACTCATTGTCGAGTACAAGCCGATGTTTATAAACATACCTGAGTTGTGGTGACAAGGCTGCCGATTACGATGCTGGAACCCATTAACTTCAAACATGCTACAAAACCAATGAAATAAGAAGTTTTGCTTCAAAATCTGATTTTAATTGTATTTGAATTCCTCGAGCTGTAAATACGGTGCTGGTGGGCGACACGTCATGATTCGGTCACGGAATGATCATAAACACAGCGAAAATAACAGCGAACATATAATTTCTGGCCCTTCAATTAAATCAGTTGCAAATCTATAACTAAATATATAGCTGAATGGATATTTAATAACTTCGTAGAGTTGCATTTCTCGTTCAATTCCTTCTCGTCAGTAAACTACATTTGTGTGTGGTTGGAGGGTCTTTGGTCGTGTGAGGAAGCCCGTCAACCAAGCTTGCTTCACCGCCCTTGGCACAAAAAAAAGTTGAACCCCATATCGCTGTGCAAAGGTATCGACGAGGCTGTTTCTCGAGTATATTTCCGCAACACAAGACACCATGTCGGAACCTACCAAGAAACGCAAGAGAAATGCAGATGGCTCAAAGAAGTCGAGCAAAAAAGTCGCTGTGGAAACTCCTGGGGCATCTGAAGTCACAGTAACCGTCGTCCAAAATACCGACGATTGGGCGCCTATCGTAGGTGTGTAAAGATTATTTTCTTTCTCGTCGCTGTAAAAATTGGCCAGCTCCTCATGCAACTATTATACTGAACAATGCTTACAATATTTAGCTGCTACTCCTGGCCTCGCTTTCGACAAGTCGTTGTCACTCAAACCATACACCAAGCGCCGCGGCAATGCCCCTCAACGGCCAGGCCAGAGCGGATCGATAGCCACCGACGAACTCTTAATTGAGTCCTCAGAACACCCAGCAATCGATTATGTTGGTAGGGAGGAAGAGGCGGGCGGCACAGACAGTTTATTAAAGCACTACATTGGTGTCTATGACCCAGCGACGGGTGGCCTCCAAGTTATTGAGTCGAGGAAAATGACCGTAAGAGGGATTGTAAGAGCACAGAATGCTGCACCAGAAGCATTTGCGGAGAAGGGAGACTACAAGGTATGTTACTTTGCGATACTACGCTATATGCAAATACTTACAAGAATAGAATATGAGAGAATTGCGAAACGACCTCGGCCAAACATTCGGAACGAAGAAGTCGAAGAAGGCTATTGCATCTCTTACGGAGAACGCCATCTCCAAACCCAGAACTGCTGCTGAGCATACCGAGCCAGTCAAGCACGATGCCGTCACAGCAGCTATGCTCCGCAACATGGCTGAAGTCACATCAGGAATGGCCACGACAGAAGAACTCCAAACGGTCGTAGACGAGTCGAAACCCCGCCCACGTGCGAACCTCGACGCCGAGAGCCCCAAGGACGTCTACACCATCGACTACCTCGTCGGCACCGAGACCATGAAAGTGATCCCCGTCAAGGAATGGCAAGACGCCGTCAAAGCTAAGGAGCAAATCATCACCAGCTCCAAATTCGTGTCCGACCGCATCCAGCTCGCCTCCTCAAGCGTCCAAAAACTCAAAGTCCTCCGCTACCTCCTCGCCATCCTCGAGTTCTACGGCGCCACCACCCCCCGCCGCGGCGTGCGCGCGCTCCCCAAAAAGGATGAGCTGCGCAAGGCCATGCCCGGCATCCCGGAGGCGGTGGCGGGGAACATCCAGCGCAAGTTCTCGGATCACGGCATGATGTCGAAGTTCCAGATGGATCTGCTGATCACGAATGTGTGCGCCCTGGCGCTGATCGTGGATAACTTCGAGGTCGATGTGTATGACCTGCGCGAGGACCTGAAGCTGGAGGGGAAGCAGATGCAGACGTACTTTTCGGAGATTGGGGCGAGGATCATGGCGGCGAATGAGGGGGAGAAGAAGAGGTTGGGGTTGGACAAGGCGGCTGCTATGCAGCACAAGTTTGCGAGGTTGCGGCTGCCGTTGGAGTTCCCGAAGGCGAAGTTTGCGAGGAAGTAGGGGATGTTGTGTTTGGCGTATGGTACTGAAATTGAGAGTGGTATTATCATTAGGTGTAGCTTTACATACAATTCGTACTGTTGATGTTCCATCTCATGAGGCAGTTAGCGCTTCGTCCTGGTATCACAATTTCATGCTCTAACTGCTCGTTAAACTTCTGGCGGCAAGAAAGCCAGAAGCTTATTGACTTCACCATAATCTCACGTCATCAAAAAGGAAGCAAGTACGATTGATTAAGCCCTCTCATTGTGGGCGAAGAGACATCAGATTGCCTAGCAACGTCTTATTCGCTCTCCACTATGTAAGCGCCGCTTTCCCCCCTGTGTGTGGCGAGCCTGATTGCCACCATAAAATCATACAAGGACGCCTGGCCGTTCATAATGCCATCCATGTCCCAATCCCAAGCTAAATCCCATTATATATACACACACATCGTACAACGCCTCCTCAACAGTGGTCATAACTACTATACCCACCCCCATCCGTCCACTCCGTTAAGCGCGTCATGAGTATAGGATCAATATCGCGATTCGACTTCATAAACACTGTCTCATACGGATGCACATTCGTACCATAATACTTCCCATTCCACAGCGCATCACCATTCCCGCCCTTATCACAGTCCTCAACAAACGTCCTCTTAGCGTGGAACGCAGACATCATGACCGACGCCTCGTAGCCCGCAGCCAGGATGATCTGGGTAGCGTAGACCTCGGCGTGGACGGCCGTCTCCCAGGTGTGGAAACACGAGTTGATGCCGACTTCTTGTTTGTTGGCGGGGAGCTTGGGGTCCGCGGGGGGGTGGAGGAGGAGCTCGATGCCTGTGCGGTCGGTGGCCCAGATCATGGATTGGACGTGGAAGATGGGTTGGCAGTTGCCTGTCATGCCGACGAGCTGGGTGGTGTTAGTGAGGTTCTCTTGTTAGGTAAGGATGTGTAGCTGCAGCTGCCAGAACTATGTCTGAATATTGAGGCCAGGGAGAAAAGTAGATAGCCGTTGACGAACCTTGACCTTATCTGTAATCTTCCCCAGATACATGTCGCTCCAGCATCCCGACGACCACACTGGCAAAAATGGACCACGAATACTAGCATTCATGAGGATAAACCTCTGATACGCTTTATAGAAATCGTCCTTTGTGAGAACATCCGCGTGGGCGCCAAGGTCGTAGCAATCATTCTCGCGCTGCACGATTCGGATATTCGACTTGCTGGGGATGAGAGCAGTAGCGTCGGATTCGCCATTCATGACAAACACGAAGTCGGCATTCTGATGGAGGCCATGCGCCAGGAAGAAGATTAGGTTTGTGCGGGCGTTCGGGGTTTCGCTGTAGGCGTAGAGGATCAAGGGTCTATCGGTGGGAGAGGCTGATGGACCCTTCGCGGCGGTAGGTTGTGGGATCGCAGCTTTGGTGGAAGCAGCTGTGGCTTCTTTTGCTTTCGCCGACGCCTCTACGGCAGCTTCCTTCTCCGAGTTCGGTGCTGCGACATGCGCTCCTCCTCCTTGGATGTTCGTGGCCTCCGAGGGCAACGGCGGTTTGGGTATAGAGGGGTTGACTATCGGGGCCTCTTTTGCAACTGCTGGTACCGGACTGGCAGGCTGCAACTGCTCCAATGTTAGATTTCGCCGTCTATAGATCGGGTAGGCAGATTCTCGTACATGGGTTACTGCGGGTGCTTGCAGCAACTTGACGGTCCATATCAGAAACAGCACCGTCAGTGCAATGGCCCACGGCGTCCGCGGATGAAAGTTGACGACCGCCATCTCCCCTCTCTCCAAGGCCCACGACGCCGACGATCAAATATACAAATTACTCGCTAGTCACAGTCATCGCAAAAACCCCTTAGTGCAAGCTGCTGGGTATCGCTGGTGGTCGTGTATACGGTGTGTGAATGGAGGTGGTTGGAGTATCCATGAGGTACGTACAATCCATATGGGATCCCTACATTTATGGATTTGTATTAGCGGGTCTGGGCAACCAAATCGCACAGGACACAACGCGCCGCGCATCTTACCCTGATTCACCCTGTTACACGGCGACAGGTCTCATACCGGCGGCAGTTTATCCAGACGAGACGTCTCAATCGAGCGTGTCGCAGCCACCGTCGGAGCCACAGGTGAGAAGTAGCATTTGTCTCCGGCCCGATCGCAGGCTCGCCCACTAAACAACACTAAACAACGGGTGTTGTGCCTCGTCCCGTCGCTTTCTCATTGGGGGCCGCCGTCATCTCATCACCGTCATCACCGTTGACAGCGATCGAGGCCGCCAAGCTTCCAGCCAAGCCAATCGGGCGGCGGGATTGCCATCGGGCAAGTCGCACCGATGGTCCCCTGCATGAGAAAGGAGTGTGATGGGGTCGGCACTGGCCAATGCGCGTTGGTTTTCGTGGGGTGACCGTTCTGGTGGATATTATATTGATCGAATCTTGTGGGAGGGTTCCTGTTTACGCTACCGCGTTGGTGTTGCACTTGTGCGAGATACAGATGAGTCCAGGTAGGTGATGGGATGAGAGGTATATAGAACTTCTTCTGTCTTCATGGTGTCTGTCTTAGGTTTCTTGATGCTCAAGGTAATGGCATATTGTCCCATCTCTTCCTGGTCAAGATAGACGTCGAGCTACCAGTCCCGCTCGTTACTGGACCAGCATCACAACCGCTCCATACCACTCATACCCTCGTTACTATTTGCGAGATACCCATTTGATATTTTAGCCATGCGTCTTTTCATTCCGTCGACGGCGATAGTGGCAGCTGGATTCGTCGGACAGAGCGCGGCCATACGAACAGTTCCATCGTCGCCATGTGCGTCGCTATGTGGAGATGTTACGTCGACGACAAACTCTGAGATCCTCTGCACCCAAGCAGATTTGAACACGACCAAAGGCCAGGTATTCTCGAAATGCATATCGTGCCAAATGACAAGCACTGCGATGGACCCCAAAACGGGAGATACAGACCTGAAATGGGTACTCTGTAAGCATCCTTCTATCACTCTCTCGTGTAGATGGATGTCTCGGTGCTGACTTGTAATTTCAAAGATAACCTTCGCTATGCAATGAGTAGTTGTATGTGGGGGTTTCCGGGCAACTCGAGTGTGCAGAATACAGTGAGCTTTTTTGTCGAACCTTGAATCTCCTACTGCATATACTGATAAATTCGTTAGCCGTGCCTCACAAGTCGGGCATGCGAACCCTTCCAGGGCAATCTCCAATACCAAGGCCTATCTCCCAATATTACCACATACGATTACTGCCCTAACACGCTTCCGTCGGAGGTAATAATAAATAGATGCAAGGATTGTATCCGACAAGGCGACCAAACATACCTATCAAACTGTAAGCCTGACCTTAGCTAGCGACGGAAAATATATGATACTAACCGCACATTAGACTTCATCACTATCCTCGCAGGCTGTGCTATCCAAAACGGCGCTCCACTCCCCCTGCACAAGGACCTCTTTAGCGGAGACTACGTCAACCCCCTGGACTTTAGGAGCCACGCCGACTCTGAAGCCACATCTAACTCCCCAACCATGTCCCTCGGGACCCGCATCGGCATCGCCATTGCCGGGATCTGTGTCCTGCTCGCTTTAATCGGCATCACAATCGTCTGCTGCGGCAAGCGACGCCGCCGCACCAGAATCGCCGAACGCCAGCGCGGGGCAGAGGGGTACACCGGCTTCGGCTCGACGAACCGCGTGCTGCCCGCGCCCCGCGTAACCACCAAGTGGGAGTCGAACATGAGCGGCGTGCAGGAGGAGAGTCCCATGTCCGCTAACGCGTATCTGAATGACAAGAACGGCTTCTCGCCGTACTCGAGTCAGTATAACAGCCCCGTCAGCGCGAGGGACGCGGTGGCGCCGCAGCAGTGGGAGTGGCCGCAGCAGCAAGGGTATGAGATGAAGAAGGTTGCGAGCGTGGTGACGCCAGTCGATAAGGAGCAGGAGGACCAGAGGCTGCATAAGGAATGGGCGATGGAGGCGGCGACAAGGGGGTTCACGGTTTCGTCGTCGATGGGTATGCCTCCGCCGCCGCCGAGGGCGAGACAGTAGGAGAGGTGGTGAGAGAAGAGGGTTTTATGTTGGATATGGGAATGGTTTGCCTGCTGGAGGCTAGGGTTTTTAGGAGACCCGGGGTCTTTTTATGATTTGTTTCATAATGGAGTAATGGGTGTGGAGAATTCAGCCAGTCAGGCTCGTAATAATCGTCGGTAGTAAACGCTGTGCCACTATTATCCATCAAAGTTCTCATCGACTTCAGTGATCTTCGCTTTTCCTGGTCTATAGTTTGAAGTTGATGAAGTCTTCGTTGACTCTAATGATCACCTGTTCCCTGGCCTGTAATGTGACATTAACTTCAGTGACCAGCGCTTTTCCTGGTCTATAATAGGAAGCCAATGAAGTTTACCAACACCATGAGCAACGTGGCAAACCCACACGACCTAAAGATGGAAACAAAACCAACAAGCGCGTAAGAAAGTGAATCCAAATATACGACCAGTTGTTGGCAATTCCATCCGACATGAATACCCGCGGCAAATAGAAGGAGACCAACAGAACACTTGCTCCATTCCTCTTCGCCGCGCTTAACCCACGAGAAGCCCAACAGCCTCCGTAATATGGCAACCACTAGCCGCCAGCCAAATGCCAATTTCACGAAGGGGCTCCCGTAGGCGCCCTTAGCCCAGCAATAATTCTAGGTGGAGTTTGTCGTTCATTGGCAATGCTGATCCTGGAAGTTGGCAGGTCCAAGGCTTACTCTGTACGGCATCATCACCCCATTCACGTGAGTCCTGATTCGATATTGGACAATTGTCTCCGCTGAAGAGCGTTTACAGGGAGGTGGTGTTATAGTGGTGGACGAATGAGAGCGTGTAGATGATCGTGGAGCTGGGTTGAGCGCTTATGATGCGAAGTGAGTGGCTTCGCTTAGTATCGTGGGGGGGCAGCTGCTTATCTGGTGCGTGTGGGGATGGACGCGGAATGTACGTCGAACATTCCCTTTGGAATGAACAAAGAACACGGAAATGAGCAATAGGACAATTGTGAAGTTATGATTTACTGGAAGACAGACAGATTGAAGAGGAGAATCGGAATTTCACTTTGTCTGCATCCTCCAGCTCAAACGGTGAAGAATATGCTGCAGCTCTCAACATCATAAACATCACCACGATGACATGACAGGAGGAGGCCTATCGCTGACCCCATACGCACGCTAGGGCGCTACATCTGCGGCCCACGGCGCCTATATCCAGGCCAATGCATATGGCCTCCTCTATTGGAGGTGGCATATCCCACGAAACAGCAATGAGTGATAAATTGCTTTCTCTCCACTTCGACGGGGACTAGACCAGCTGTCTCCATATCCAGCACAAAGACGGACGACGGCCTGCCAATGGGAGACCCTGACGGAAGCCCTCACATAAGGTAGGTGGATGATGCTTGCGGGCCTGCGGGTAACCTTGGGACAGCGTGGTAGGTGTGCGAGCTAAGATATAGTCTGTAGCTCTGCTGTTTCCTTTCGCTTTGTTTCCTTTTGCATATTTGATGGCTTTCAGGCATTGAGGTTCCCTTTCTTCGAGAGCCGTGTAGGATCACTGGTGTTGGACTTTCATTTGAAAGAACTTAGCTTTCTTTCTCCTTTCTACTACTTATTTTTTCATCCTCTCCTCACGACGACGCTGGCAACGATCCTCGACTTCCATTATATTGGAGCCAGTCTCCCTTTGACGAATTACTTTGCCTGGAGCCTCATATGAACATCGCCCTATCTCTTTGCTGAGATGGCCTTGCCATTCTTTAGGGTCGGATTTGTACTTCTTCTCTTCGCCGTTACCTTCGCATCTGCGCTACGAATAACGCCCAACTCGCCATGCACCACCGTGTGTGTCGATGGTGGCTCCACATCAGATCAGTCGCTTTCAGGCACGCACGAGGGAGACATCGTATGCAATGACGAAGACTACACTTCCAAGAAAGGACAGCAGTTCGAGGAATGCCTGAATTGCCTGCAGGGGAGCAGCTTTGGCACCGATACCGATAATGATCAAATGTGGTTCATCTATAATTTGAGATTCGCCTCTGACTGTGAGTACGGGAATGTCACCTATGACTTTCGTTTACTAATTTTGGGATAGGGTGCTTTTTTGGAACCAACAACGCCGAGACATTGAGCGGCCCTTGCATGGTCGAATCGACGTGTAACCCGCTTTCCAAACCACTCAGTGCAGGGAATGAAAGTGTGGAGGCAGGAGATATTTTCGATTACTGCACAGCGGACAGCTCGGGCTTTGCACACTGGAAGCCGGTCTGCTACACATGCATGATGCATATGGTGGGCAATATATATGTGACAAACTGTTAGTAGTTCATCCAAAATCGCCCCCATTTTGCAAAACTGACAGTATTAGTCCTCACTGCTCTCGAAGCTGGTTGCAACCAACACCCATCACAATCATCTCTCATCGGCCTCGATGGCTCCGTCTTTTCTGGGTACCCTGTCAATATCACCTCAGCCCCTTTCAACCCCGCCAAAGAATCTTCTACCTCCTCAAATGGCCTTAGCACTGGTGCCAAAGCGGGCATTACGGTTGCTTGTGTGCTTGTAGCTATCATCATTGCCGCTGCCACGTTTATCTACTGCTTCAAATTGCGCCGTATCCGCAATTCCCCCAAATTAAATTCCCATTACGACCACCGCTATGGCTCGAGCGGCATCAGCCCCCCCACGGATGGCGCCTACTCATATAAATCTGAGCCTATTCCCGCGCCGTACTCGAACTATAAAGCCGAGCCAGTTTCTGAATCCTGGAATGATCAAATTATTACTCTAGACGGTGTTAACCGCAGCGCGAGCCCACCAGCCAGCGCCTACACGAAGTTTTCGAGTATATCATCTGGCAGATCAAGTTTAGTCGGGTCACCAGAACCGCTGACTCTAGCCGCTGCGCCAGTAGGCATGCGTGCTATCACCCCACTGCCCACACAGGCACCGGCACCACCACAGGCACCAGCAGGCCCTCCAAACCCTCTCCGCATGAACTCCGTCATCGCAGCCTCCCAATATCCCTCGGCCCCAACTCAACCTACACAAGCGCCATACAACCCCCGCTCCTCATTCTCAACCTACATGCACTTCAACCGCCCCGGCCGCGCCTCCTCCATCCTCTCCACATCAACCACCTTCTCCCCCCCTCCGCCCCTTCCCCACCTTCCTACCCAACAGCCCCCCACAACCACAGACCCCCATCCCCCTCCCGACCTACAACCCCCGTGACTACGCCCCCCACCTCGCACCACCCCCCACACAACCCCTCCCCCAACCACCCCTCCAGCGCCTCGACAAACAAACCGTCCCCATCATCGCGATGCCCATCCCAGCTCCGCGCCGGGACACAATGGATATGCGCTCCTTCATCGGCCTCGGCATCTCCACTTCCAGCACAAACACCGTTCCTGTCCCGGCATCTGTGCCCATCAGCGCTGTGAATTCTGATGGTCCCGTGCCCTTATCTCGGAACGCGAGTCTGCGGGAGCTAGCGGCGAAGTTGTTACCGCGTGCTGAGAATGGTGAGGAGAGCGGTGTTGCTGAGGAGGGTGTGAGGCAGGATAGGGGGAGGAGGAGGAGCGGGAGTCGACCGAGGATGGGGAGAAGCGAGTCGAGGACGAGGTTGCGTGATGAGGGGTTTGAGGGGGAGAGGAGGCCGTTTGAGTTTAGAGGACAGGATGCTGCGGGGAGGAATGCGGCCAGTCCGTTGAGTGCGGCGTAGTGCGTGTAGCAGTGGCCGGGGAAGATGTGATGATTGGTTTGTTGGGGTGGGTGGTTGGGTTTCTGTAGTTATGGCGTTTTGGAGACATGGATTGGGCATTTGTAGATTTGAAAATCGGGGAAGGGGATGGAGGAAGTAATGTGGCCCTTCCGTAGCTGGAATTGACTGGGTTACATGTAAAGTCTTGGTATCATATGCAGCAGTGTGAGCCAGAGAGCGAATGGTAGAGTTGCATTTTCATGTAATTTGTGTGTGTGTAAACCCTCTGTGAACCTGGTCCATAGCTCTTACAAGAGGAATGAAATATCCACGAGTGGTAACACCACAACTCAAGTTCCGAAACCTCTCTATCTCCATGCTGAGCTCATGGGGTATAGAGCGTATCAGTGACAATCCGCCACTTTCAGTACAGGCGCACAATTCTTGTCGTTAGTTAACCATCCTTGCCATTAATCTTGTGATTTAGTAGTAACAGCTTTGCTTCCCAGCCAACTTGAGGGGTATAAAATGTGCCACATTTTGCTGCGTGTTCCTTTACCACACTACGTTTGGCTCCTTTAGAACCCATTTGTGTTGCAACTCTCTTTAAGCTGCCTCGTCTGACAATTTTTTATCGGCTTCTTTCTCTTCTGCCAGTCTCCCCTCCTCAACTTCTTTCTCTTCTACCACTTTCCCCTCGACTTCTGCCTCGTCCGACACTTTTTCCTCGGCTTCTTTCTCTTCTGCAACTTTCCCCTCAACTTCTGCCTCGTCCGACAGTTTTTCCTCTTTCACTTCTGCTACTTTAGTCTGAACTTCTTCCTCTTCTGCCTCTTTGCTCGCTGTCTCTTTTGGAACTGCCATCTTCAAACCCCTTGGATCACGAGACATGATTGGCCCATGCACGTAGTCTCGAATATAAGGCGGCTCCACTTCATACCCATTCAACCTATGCAGCTCGGATACTATCCCATTGATCATCTCATCGAAATTTGGCGCCCTTCCTACCCATGGTATACCGCGCTTCTTGATCCTCACGCGATATACAGGGAGCTGATTTTTCTCCACCTCATGGGCGGTAAGGAAATTGTAGTCATCGTGGTAAGCGTCGAAGATAGCGAATGTGTGTCGGCCTCTAATCTCAATTGCCAAGAGGTTCACGCCAACTGGTACGTAGGTGTCGTCGGAATTGGCAGGATCCCTGAAAATTACGGGAATGACTTTATCTAAAAGATTGCGGACCTCTTAAAACTTGTCGCTGCTTTCGAGGGACCTTGTGGAAATATCAGCGAGTACGCGTAGAGGTGTATCGCGGGGCAGGTGCTTTGTCGCATTGGTATCGTCCTCCTCCACGGTATCTTCCTCCTTCACATTGGTATCTCCCTCCTGCACATTGGTATCTTCCTCCTGCACATTGGTATCGTCCTCCTTTACATTGGTATCGTCCTCCTTCACGGTATCGTCCTCCTGCACATTGGTATCGTCCTCCTTCACATTGGTATCTTCCTCCTTCACTGTATCGTCCTCCTTCACGGTATCTTCCTCCTTCACGGTATCTTCCTCCTTCACATTGGTATCTTCCTCCTTCACATTGGTATCTTCCTCCTTCACATTTGTATCTTCCTCTTGCACATTGGTATTTTCCTCCTGCACACTGGTAATTAGCATAGTTACTCCAAGTGCTGCTTTCATTAACATACCATTTTGTCAGCACCACGGCAAGCTTATCGGAGTCTTGGATACACACGTGAGGGAAGGGATGACCGAGTTGTTTCATAACGAACTAAAGTTGGGTAAAGTTCAAAATGTAAACAAGGCACCCACCAAGGTGCAACTTCCCCAGCACGGTCTCCTCCGCTTTTAATACTAGAGCTTGAATTTATGCACCAGGTTAATAACTCTAAAGACAAACACATTAATCCCAGGTGCCTTAATACATCACTGTTATAGCTATGGCCAAGAGCTTCTAAGTTGTTCTTTCAAACATACTATTGTGGTTAAGAGGTTGATATGAGGTTGATATGACCCTTTGTGTCTTCCTTTTTTGTAGTCACCATTCCTGAAAATAATCTATAGTGGCCTTTGGGGGCCTCAATTCTTCTCCCACCACCCGAAATACAATTAACCAGGAGATTTCCTACCCCAGAATAGGGATTATGTGGTTGTGATGGATACATTTGTCTTGCATTCTTCGTCTGCTAATGAATGGTATATACCCTCCACTTGATAGAAGGTTCCTCTCTTATCCAGGAGGCAAGCCGCCTGTACATAATTACTAACGGCATACACAGTTTCCCAGTGCCACTCAACAAACTCCCATGCTGGCATGGCCCATAAATTGCACCCACTATACGCCAAGAACTCTCGACCTCTGCCTCCATTCTACTCCACGCCCTCACATACTCCCCGGCCACTGTTCGACATCTCTATCAGGCGACCTCTCATGCCACGTCTTCGCCGGCCTCCGCTTCGGCGCTGCACCAAGCTTCAGACTCGGAAGCGTAATCCTGTTCATCCTTGTCTTGCTCTGCGGATGGGTTGCCTGCGTGCCCTGGATGCCAAAGAGGCGCTGCATGGACTGGCGAGGTTGCTGCTGCTGCTGTTGGTCCACCGGTGGCAGAATTATGCTCTGCACCGGCTGTGGGAACTGCGAAAACTGGTCATGCATCTCTGGTAGCTGTGGTAGTGGTGGGGAGGATGCAGGAGTAGGTGGCATGGATGATGTTTTAATGCTCGTCGGCGAGGGTTGGGCGCTACCCCAACCATTCGTCACAGTGGTTGTGGTAGAATTGCCTGTTCGTGGACCGTTCGTGGTGGGTGTCGGCGCGCTGCTGGCGGAGAAGCCTGGGCCCAACTTGCTGCCTATGCTAAGCTGGTCGGCGGGGATGTATGCCTGGTGAACCGGGACGGGCCTGGTTGGTCGTCCAATGGCGGGGAAGGTTTTGGGCCATTGTGGGGAGGGTTGGAGCTCAGAGGCGGGAGAGGATGGGGTGGAGTTGTAGCTGGAGAATTGGGTGCTGGTGGAGAGGGAATGGTGAGAGTGATGGGAATGGTGTGACTGGGCGGATTTCGAGGTGAGTGGTTGTGGGATAGACGGTGCGTCGCTGCTTCTATTGGAGCGGACGAGATTTAAAGAGGCTGGCTTTGCGTTGGGGAATTTTGGGAGGTGAGATATGGCGGACATGGGAGGTGATGGGAACACTTGATCGATAGTACCGGCGGGGAGGACGGCAACAGTAAGAGGAGGGGCCGTGGAGGGATCGGTGAATGCCCCCGAGGTTGGGGCCGTAATCGCAGCAGAGCCGAAACGGGGATCGAAAGAGCTTTCGATGGGCTCGCGGTTACGCCACCAAAGACACATCTTGGCGGATTAATATTGGGGCAAAGCTGTGGCAATGTTGTTGGGTATGTCGGTGGCGTCGAGGTCGATGTTGGTTGAGGCCAAACCTCTCATAGCAAGCCGTTTGACGAGGCTGCAACGCACCGTCAGTTGTTGGACGTTGGAAGGAAGCAATGGGTCCTTAATAGTTCCAACGATGCGTGGAGGTACATGACACACTAGGTAAGCTATCATAAGCTTGCCTCGTATGGATGACTAACCTCTCATTCCAGTCCATCTAGCCACAAGCAGTGCAGATGCTCATCGGGATCCAGAGAACTTCAATACTCTGGGTCAAAGCCTCATTCTATATCTCGCCGGCAACACTCGATATATACTCAAGAGGAAAATGTGACAGAGAGCTGAGGATGCATTACATATCCATCGACGTCCCACATGCGATACTTAAGCAGCCTTTCACTCACCACCAAACATCCAACAACCACCTGGGGCCATGCTCAGCATGTACAACAATGTTCAACCGCATTCGGGCAGCCTAACGGGGAGTATGCAGTGCATCGCATACGGCCGTTTCTAGCACTAGGCAACCTAGCCCGCTTGCTGCCTCTCCTTCCACGAAGTGGAAACGCATGGCACAGGACTGTAAGTCCTGGCCGCATACGGAGCATTGAGGTGGTAGCACCACATACACTCGAATAGCCTGGATGTCGTCGGCGGCGCGGCAAAAGTACCCCGCCCGAGCTGCGGGAAGGCTATGCAAGTTCCTTAACCCTTGTGCAGCCCTCAAGATCGATACCTTGAATGACTGTAGGCCAATCATGCAATAGATGCTCTGTTCTGGTGATTTGTCACTCACGAATGAAAGTCAGAGAACTGGAAGCTGAGCTGAGTTGACGTCCTGCAAGCAAGGTCGTCTCATAAGAAGGCATCATTTACGTGATGACCAGAGCATCGATCGACGGTAGGAAAGAAAGCAAACACAACGTCTTGTCGATCACTACATTCCGTCCCCTTGCCAAGTGTCACTAATCCCACTACTTTCACCTTGTCGAGGATTTCCGATGCAGTGTAACTAAAGCCGATGAGAACGGGCGAGTCGACAGATCAGATCAGACGCCACCATCCAGCTAGGTAGGTGGTTCTGCTAGGGGCGGACACCAGTGACAACCCCTGACAGAAGCCAATGAGCGGCAGTCATTAGGCGCTGGTAGGGGTTCGCTGGGATGGAAATTCGGCCGAGTATGATGTGCTGTAGTGTGCTGTCGCGTAAGAACAGGACACGTACGGGGCACAAACAGTTATACATCCGCTGCGTAACGCGAGGCAAGGTCAAGCCCGAGAACTAGTGGAAATTGAGGGTCGATGAAAAGGAGAGGGGAAGGATCCACTGTTGCGGCATCGCCCGCTGACACGGGTAAATCTCATTGTTATGCAGGTTCCACAGTTCCAATCACCTCGAGCCTTTCCTTTCCCAGCCTTGCTGGGTACCAACCTTGCTTCCCGTTCCTCTCCCATCTCCACGAAGCACTCTATTTTGTTGGTGATACGTCTCAACTCCGATTTGTCCGATTCTTGACTGGTGTGTGTGTGTGGGTGGTCGGGTCGGAGTTCCCCTCCGACTGTCACATCAAGATAGCCCCCATAGAGTGTAACTCTCTAAAATCGCCCACTATCGCGCCTCTTGGGAGGGGATGGTACTGTAGCATCGCTGTTTTACACTAACGTGAGTCGTGGCGTAATGAACATAGTGGCGTAATGAACACAATTATCCTAAGAGTAAAAGATTTATCTACCCTGCATCTACCCCACCGCTAACCCCTTTCAGCTTTTCTGCTAATGTGATAATTTCTACACCGCCACCATCATCACCACACCACCACCAATTCGGCCGCTCTAACCGCAATCCTGATGACTGGGCCGTAAAGGAAGGTTCGTCTTCCGGACTGAGCGTCGAGACACTGGCCGAGCTTTCTAGATTTGTGCGGAGGAAAGCTGCCCCTAGCGAGGTCACGGTAACATATCCTAAATCACCATTTAAAATACACACCACTTAATAATGGTATGCTGGAAAAACTTAACTACAGTTATGTTACGATATCAAGTGCGCCTTGCAGCTCGAGTGGGGGGTTCAGGGGTGTGGGGAGCTTTCCGGGGTTGGAGCGAAGTTTTCAGTTGTGGAGTGAATTCTCAGAACTGGTCTCGCTAAAGAGAATTCACTCCACAACAACATAGCTGTATATAGATCGAGCCACTGCTCGAGTGCTCCTCTTCTCTTTCCTTTCTTCTCTAGATTGAGTTTAATCCATAATACCCAACTGGCGCCCTATGCCTTGGTGAACCGTGACATAAAACTCAATCTCTCTTATACCTCTTTTCCTGCTCTTTGAGCTGAACCCTCTTCTGAAATCGAAATCGAAATCCACTCTTTGAAAACCCCAGAACCAGAAACCTTATCCTGAAGTCGATTCCAGGACGATCTCGAGGCAACCCCTCAAAGTTGGCTTTCGACAGTCAGCTCGACACACACACACCACCTTCGCAGTCAGACCTTTTACAACGCTCCCTAACAAGGATATAACTGTGAGGGAAGTGCGCTCCTCTTGAGTGGCTCCTACGGCCAACAACTGCACAATAGGGCCTTTGGCAATATGTGTCTGACTTGACGATATAAACTGAAATTGAAATAGCAACTCGCTATGGCTTATACAGCTGAAGAAAAAGCTGCAATGGCAGCTCGAAATGATCCAGAACAAGACCAGGAATCCCTGGCAGAAGGAGCATCAATTCCAAGCTCTGCAAACCAAACCAATGAACTTCATGATCCTAATAATTCAAATCCGAAACCTTCCTTCACACTCTGGGCAAAACAGCTCAAGAGAGACATGAATCTATACTTGCAAATCGACATGAAAAGGCTGAATGGAATGTTGAAACCTTTGACGAATTCCAGA